AATCTCTCCTTTTTAAAGTTATTTGTGTATTTTGTTCATTATCCTCGTCCAGGTCTTTGGTATCGGGGCTGGTTAGGAACTGGCAGCACAGAGCCATGTCCAGGGTCATCTCACGACTACCGTGGTTCATTTCAGTGGGGCCGGGCTGCCTCGACGCCAGCACCTCGCTCCTGCTGAGCAAACTTTCCTCTCGTCCCTGCCAAGGAGAAAAGCTCCCTGGAAAGTGCAACACTAGGCACTTCTTTGGGGGATAGTCCAAAGGTAAGACACCCTCCTGTAGCCCAGAGCATCGCGGTGATGCACTATCTCAGGAGCCCACGTGGTCCCCCCGAGGCTGCAGCATGGTCTCAGGGGGGTTGGAGAGCTGTGGCCTTCCCAGGAACATCCCAGCATGGGGAGTGCGTGTGCAGTGCTTTCCACGCCGAGGGGAGGAGATGGATCAGTGCTGGGCCTCATCCCAAAGCCCATCTCAGCCAATTCCTGTGCTCCTGTGGATTAGAGCAGACGGGAACGTTGTCGCTGTCCTCCTGGCTCAACAAGACGGAACATCTTGTGCTGTTTTGCAGCTCTGCCGATGGGGCACTGAAGTGAAATTAAAGTAAAAATAAAACCAGAGCTGTAACAGCGTGCTGCACACATCTGAGTCCCCTCTGCTCGCTGGTGCTTGAATGCCGGTGGATAAGCATAGAGGGAGCCAGGGACCTCAGGCCAAGCGTGAAGGTGTCAGAGGTGTGCTGGGAGCAGCGTGGCCCTCACTTTGCTCCCTTGGCTGACGTCCTCCTCGCCGGCTTTTCACGTGCTGCATAAATCTCTCCTCGGCTGTTCTGCTCAGTGCCACGGCTGTCATGTCGTACTGCACCATCAGCTTCTGCCTGCCTGTGGTGCCTTGACATGACTCTGTGCTCGTCTAGCTTTGCTTTGCTCCCCTTTCCACGGTCCTTCTCTTTGCACCGACTCCTCCTTGCTGTGGTATTCCCTCTTGGCTTTTGCTTTCCAATTTTTGGGCTGGCTGCCTTCCCTGTGAAGACGCTTTTTGGGCTCAGAGCAATGCTCTTGCTAGACCTGCGTGCTGTCCTCGCTCCCATGTGGTCCTCTCCTGCTGTGCCCATGGCTACCATCCACATTGCTCTGAACGTGCCCTCCGAGGCCGCAGAGGAGGGAGCTGATCCTGTGCTCAGCAACAGCCAGAAGCTAAGGGAGAGCGGAGGAGGATGGCAGGGCTTGGCCCCAGAGATAGTATGAGCTCCCAGAGCAGGGAAAATGGGTTCCCTGCGGCTTTGGGGCTGATAGATGGTCCATGGTGCTATGAAGGTGCCCTTGTTTAGATCCTTGCTCCCCAGCACTTGCATATCAGATGTAGTATGTAAGGAGACCTATGGATATCATGCTTTTTGCCCTCGCCACCGTGATCAGGAGGCTGCCATAACATATCCCGTAGCCGTCTGGCATTAACAACAGGATTCTCTGTAGCGAACCTCCAGCACGGTTATCGCTTTACAGGTTGAGGTTTTGAAGCTTTTTTTTTCTTTTCTCAGAAAACAAGCAGAGAGGAAAACGTGCCTTTGCAATGAGCACTGCTGTCTGAGAGGTTTGTAGCTGATTCTTAAGTTAGCATAGGATTAGTCTGATCCCTGGGTAATGCCTTATCAAGATAAAGCATCTTGAATTGTAAAGCCGGGGAAGCCCAAGAGAGGCAAAATCCCTTTGTTTAGGTTACAGAGAAGCATTTTCTTGACAGTGGCTGAGATTGGTCATATTTTTCTTTTTCTTCTGCAACTCTGCAAAGAGATGCCAAATTAACACCCCAGCCTGGCGCCTTCATCATGCGGGCTCTCCAGCTAACAGGGTTGTGCGGACCCTCCGGCTCTTCCAGCTCCATCACCGGTTGCAAGAGGGGCTGACAACTTCTTCAGCCACTGATATCCTTGGAAAAACCCTCTCTGACATGGAAAGGTTTCCTGTGGAACATGCACGCCTTCCTTCCACCCTCTTTCACATCCCAAGCTGTGAGGCTTTTGCGTTGCCCTCTTCAGAGTGGTGGGCCACTGTAAATCCTTCAGTTGTTCAGGGTTGCCTGGGGCTGTGCTCCTCTTTGCCTTTGCTTGCGATGGTGCCAAGAACCAGAAATTGCACAGGATTGTTTATTTTTCAAGCTGATGCCTGAGCCTTCAGTGGGTAAGGAGATCTGCTTTCCCATACCCACCTTCAGTGACCTAATGTCCCAGTCATCCATTTGCAGAGCCTTCAGTGCAGCTTATCTGTAAGTGGTTGACATAGAAACATTAACCTTTCTCTTTTTGTGTCTTTTCCCACCTGAAGAAGTTGCTTGGGCTATTTATAATTTGAGTATGTGCAGAATACCCAGGAGAGGGGCTGCAACTGGAGGGCTGAGCTGGCTGTGAGCTTTGAGTGTGGGCAAACTAGCAGTGAGGTCTTTCTGTTTGTTTTCCATGTACATCTTTGTGTATCTGCTTGCTTACCTGCAAAACAGAATCATTTTGAGGTTTGAGATCTTCTTTGAAAGAGGCTGAACCTGTATTATTGAAGCGGTGAAATTACTGTGTGATCTTGCCAGGCTTTTCGAAGTGAAATATTTGAAACAAATCATAGCAATGGGCTGAATGCATCACACAATATCTACTATATATAATTAGAGGCTTCCCAAGCACCAGCAGCGACCATGGAATGTGCTGGGGTCCCTGCTGTTTCTGGACCACGCATGACACCGGACTTGCTTGGCTGTGAGTTCCCGTCGGATGCTCTGGGGTCACCAGCCCGTTGGCCAATTTGTGGTTGTACTCGTCCTGCCCCAGCTCTCGTGTCCTCTCGTGGGAAGCGGGGACCCGACGAACCCGTGGCCAGACGCTGCTCTGTCACCTCCTCCTCTCCGGGCTGGTGAGCATCTCCACTGTGCTGCAGCTTCCACCATCGGCTGCTCTCCCTCTCCAAATAAGCAGTTCACTACGCACCATCTGTTGATTTTAATTTCCCATAATTTGTTTCCATGTATATGTAATTTGTTCTTTCATTAATTGTGCTGCTGAGTTTCTTATTCCATGAGACTTGCTTTGCAACGGGGAAATCACTGTGGTTTTTCCCCTCTGTCAAAGCTATTTTCGTTATTGACACAAATGAGCACTTTTGTCCTTTTGAATTTTGCTCTCTGGGCAAGTCTCGCTTAAAAAGAAATCTTTCAGAAGAGCAGTGCCAGACCCATTTGTGTGGAGCTTCATTACGTCCTCACAGCCGTACTGAGCGCAGCCATTAAACGTCTTTAAAAAGATCTGCCTCCCAAAGTTTGCTTTAACTGCCTGCAGAGCAGAGACCTTCCAAGCCATCGCCATCTGCGGGTGCAGCCCTTCACGGCTCTGCTCCTGCCGCCGGGTGCTCGCCCATCTCCCGGGCAGGCAGTGTTGGGGGGCAGCGTGAGAGCTTTTCACGTGAGCTTTTGCACATGTGTGTGATCCCTCCCGGGTCTGGTGCGTGCCCCGTGCGCCTCGGTTCCTCTGGCTGTTTTACTAGATGGAGTTATCACCCAGTCATGGTATTTTAGGGACAATTCGCAGTCTCCTTACCCCGTAACCCTGTACGTAGGGTGGATTGCTGCTATTGTTTTCCCTGTCTCCATCCTGAGCCTTGGCACAAACCTTGGATCAAGGTTCTGAGGAGTTGTCAAATGTTCCGGTTCTCTGTGCTCAGCCTGGACTCGAGGATGCAAATGCCATGATTATTCGAGTTAGTGCTGCTTTTTATGGTGTGTTTCCAAGGCAACTGGAAATTCAGAAGACCACAAACACACACACGGTCCTCTTCTTCTGAGACCTTATCCTCCAGTACACAGGTAAACACCCTCAGTGACATTTCCAGCCTGTTTGAATGCTCATCTGAACAGTCCCCACTGTCCCCTCGCAGGGCTGCCAGCGGCCGGAGCAGGTAATTGCCTCCTTTGAAGGCTGTAAAACCCATCCAGCTACACAAACAGGTTTGCTTTTGTTCTTTTGAATGTCGGGCCCCAACCCCGCCTTGCTCGGAGGGGAGCGATACCAGAGAGGCTGCAAAAACAAAAATGGGGATTTTGAACAAAGGGGGGAAAAGTAGCGGTGGTTTGATGCTTTCTGAAAATAATTTATTTTTTTTTTCTGGGAGGGATGAAGGAGCTGTGCTGGTGGTGGGAGGGTAAGAAAAGTTTGAGAAAAAGGCAGGAGGGGAATGGGGAAGGATGGAGCAGTTATCCACGAGGAGGAGGCAGTGGCGGATCGCCGGTCTCCCACACCCGCTGCCCTCCTGGGAAGGCTCCTCGGCTGGTTTTCTTTGGGGTTTATGGGAATAACTAAACTAAAATTATGGGATGAACTGTAATCTAAAATAATCTGCAAGGTGGGAATTTTCTCGTGGAGTTTGGGTTTCCTTCTGCTTTGGAGAGTGTCTGTACAGCCATTGTGCTGGTATCTGGGCATGGGGAAACCAGAAACAGCAGAGGTGGCATTGCTGGGAGCCTGGTCCTGGCTTAGCGCAGCTCCCGGGGACTTCTTGGGAGAAGTTGGCGTTTGGTTCTTCCGCAGCCCCCCGTGGCACCAATTCGTCTGCACCTTGCAGAGATGCCTCTCTGCAGAGAGGTTTGCTGAGCCTGAACCTTTTTGAACAGACTTTGGTGTTTTGCACTGCTGTGCTCCTTATTGAAATAGCATTTCAGCTAGTGGGGACTGTGATCTTTTCCCCTCCAGTGCACTCATGAATACAGAAATCTCCTCTCTGTGTTGGCTTCCCAAGAAACTGTTGTTTTGGGTTCCTGGTGGAGAAGTACCCTGGGCAGCGTGGCAGGCTCTTGCATTGAGCTTAGATTAAATGCACTTAGATTAAAACGAGAAGGGTAACGACCTGGCCCGGTGTCCTGCTTTCCTGCTCGTGCCAGTCTTCGCTCTGTTGGAGCGCAGGAGGAGGGATGGTCTCAGGACTGTTGTAGGGTTTGACCTTACCGGGTTTTTTCCTTCCTGTTTCAGAGGGTCTGGCAGTGGGAGTTGGATTCGGGGCTATTGGAAAATCTGCATCTGCGACCTTCCAAAGTGCCAGGTAAGCCACAACGCCGCTTCTGCTCCGCGTGCATCAGGTTTTGTGCGTGCCTTTGCCTCTTGGAGGTTGTCTGTCTGTCCCACATTGCTCCCGTGCCAGGGTGGTTGGAGATGTGTTGGTTGTCTGGAAGCACAAGTGTGGGCAGAGGGAGCAGAAGAAATTCCTAGTGCTGTGGCATTTTCCTAGTGGTTGTGCTTGTCAGACGTGACAGAAATGCCGAGATTTTCCACAAAAGCAGCATCCCCAACGGGTAGGAGCAGCTGCCAGAGCTGTTGGAAAGCATGCTGCGGCTTTGTTTTCCATTCCTGCCAAGCAGGGCCACTAGTCTCTGTCATTGGTGGCAATAAAGACTCTCGATCCTCCCGGCATCCCTGCTTGCCTGCTCCCGGCAGCCCTGCTCTCCTGCTCCAGCCTCGCCAGCAGCCACTCTCGCCCGGCTCTGTTTTTGGCGGCACCAGCATTGCCCCCGTGCTACCAGGCAAAACCTTTTATGCTTTTCTCCGGGACTGGTGTGAACGTGGGGGGTTAATTCAGCTCCTCTAAACTGCCTGGTGGGGGGGGTTAGGCTTTGGGGTGCATTTTTATACCAAGCGGGAGCAAAACCTGGGTGTACAGGGTGGGTGACGGTGGGGAGAGCCCTGCTGCTTCCCCACGCCCAGCCTCACCCGGCAGAGCTGAAACCGGGCTGACTCGGGGGCATTGCTAAAGAAATGGGAGAAAGGAAGAAGTGCGGTGCTAAGCAGGAGCTGGAGGAGCTGCCTCGGCTCTGGAAGAGCTGTTGGCACCTCTTGGTGGCTGGCTCGCAAATGGCACCTTCC